CAAATCACAATACAATCGGCAGCTATTCTCGAGAAAGAAGTAGGCGAATTACGCGCTGCAAACGAGACGAAGAAGCGAAAAAGGACTCGGTCTAAAAAGCAAATAGCTTCCGAAGAAGGTCTGTCAGTTTTAGAGGCCTCTACCTTAGTAGCGCAGCCAGAGCAAGCGGTTTTAGCACAAACCCCCCGTGAGGCAGAATCGGCTCCGGCACCTTCACAGCCACGTAAGAGAGCCTTACCAAAGTGCAGTATATGTGGAATTCAGGGTCATAAATTGACTACATGTCCTAATAGAACTAGTTTTTAGCTTATTGAATTTAATGGCGTTTTGGTTGAGAAAAATGCATTAAAAATAAATAGATACAGGTAGGGTGGCGGCTCGCTTGGGGTGGCGGCTCGCTTGTGAATTACGTTACTTACTAGTGAAGCCTCTAACCTTGGAAGTGCCTAGGACATTCTAGCCTAGCCTATGATGAACATGTAATTTCTCATTCTTCCCTTCTCCATGAACTATATTGATCACTTTCTGAAGTCCACCTTAAATAATGATATTTTGTATGGCTTCAGTCACTTTCTTTTTCCTTCTTTGTTTGACCTGTCTGTTAAATGCCTCTCAATGCTTATACATGCGAGAACACTTGATATAACGTTAATCTAGACAAGAGTACTTCATAACTTATAAATCTAAGTCTAATAGTACAGATAATTAGATAATGTAGAAATCCAACGTAGATAATTTAATTTTGAGTTCGTAAGTTCTGTGTCTGGGTGGTCCTAATACTTGGTGCGTTAACGTTGAGTTATATATATTTATTCCTCATTGTTTAATACAGAAACCTCATTTTTTTTTTTTCCGTTGGTAACTCGATTTAATTGCTAAAGGACAGTCTTAAATTACAAAATATAGCTAGATTGCAATGAAAATCAAGTAGACAGTACTGTATTCCTCTCAAGCTATAGATAGGACCGAGTATAGACGGTCAGCCGAGCCCCTTCCACATGGCAGTTCCGCCTTGGCCTTCCAAACCAATGCTCCCCCTCACTCCCTTACGAGGCCATCTACTCATTCTCCTCTTGTATTTGGTCGACGTCCTTACTCTTGCGTTTGTTTTGGTAGAGTTGGTTCATCGATCCGCGGCGATGTTTCAGGTACTATTTTTCCGACCTGGCGCCTTGCGTCCAACTAACACTATTGCCAGCGCCTCCGCGACGCCATCGACTCTCGCATCGCAGAGGAACAAGCCCGCCAAAAGTCCGCCCAAGATTCCATCTCCCGCTCCAATTCCTCTCGCCGTCCACCCACCCGCAACCTCTCCCCGAGTCGGCGCACCCGCCCAAGACGCAACACAGGCACTCCCATCAGAGGACCCGACCCCAAGGAATTCGAGGCGGAATTCACCATCGGGGACGACGATGAGTCCAGCCGGTCTGCTACTCCCCAAGTTGACACACCAGAAGCTGCCTCGGAAGTGAGCGTAGCCAACGAAGGCGAGTCTGCAGAGATGGAGGGCAAAACACCTGCGGAATCGTCTGAGAAAGAGGCCACCGGTGCCCAGGATGCTGACTCTTCCAAGGACTCTTCCAAGGACTCTTCGGCTGAGCTTCCACCCGATGTCCGTGCTAAGCTCCGCAGACTCGATAAGCTCGAGGCGCGATACCATGGTACGTAACTGCCTGTTCAGGAAACCGCGCACGAGAGACTGACTGCAAGCGCACATAGATTTGCTCAAGGCATACCGCATGGCGCACTCGCGCGTCCTCTCTATCGAGCCCTTTGAGGCTGCTCTGCGCGAAAACACTCCGCTCACCTCGATTGGCGAACCCAAGGCTTTCACCGAGTACCTTAACCAGACGGCCCTGAAAAGCGACATGGTAATGGAGGAGCTGAAGCGCGTCACCGGCGAAAGAGAAGACTACAAAAAGAAGATGGAGGAAGCGCAGAAGTCTACCAAGGAGGCTTTGGATGAGGTTACCGGGCTCAAGAAGGAGAAGCAGGAGAAGCCCGAGGCTGGCGCGAACAAGGGATCAGATGGGACAGAGGAGACTAGCGAGGAGTTCTTCTCATTTGATAACGAAGTCCCCCGTCTAGAGATTGAACTCAAGGAGAAGCAAGAGGAGGTCGACAACCTCAAGACTGAGGTGGAAAAGCTCAAGCGCGACATGTCTGTCACCCGTGAGTCGACCGAGGGTATGGTACAGAACCTTGAGACAGCTACTCGCGAGCTTGTTGAGTTGCGCGAAACCAAGGACAAGTTGGATGCTGAGATTGAAACTCTCAAAACATCCAACAAGGCCGATAAGGCCAATGTCGATGACTTGAAGGCGAAGCTTACCACAGCCGAATCTTCTATTGAGTCGACCACGACTGAGGTTGAGAAGCTCAAGTTGCAGCTCAAGGAAAAGAGCGAAGAAATCGAAAAGCTCCAGAACCATGCTTCTGAGAAGGCCGAGCCAGACTCGGAGCTCGTTTCCCAATTGGAAACAACCAAGGAGGAGAAGAAGGCTGGCGAGAAGAAGCTGGTCGTGCTCCAGGGCTTGGTTGACGGCCTTCGATCTCAACTTAAGGAAACTGAATCGACCATCTCAGACCTGAAGACGGAGATTGGCCAGAAGTCGGAAAGCTCTACCAAGCTTCAGCAGATTGTTGACTTTGTGGACGAGAACCTGAAGGACAACACTACGTGGCAATCTGCCAAGGAGAAGCTTTCCGCTGGAGAAAAGGCCGATTTCGACGAGATCCGAAAGAGTCTGGCACCAGCCAAGGAAGACGAACCAGCCACTACTGCCTCTACTCCTGCTGCTGCTGAAGAGGAGACCCAGCCTGTTCCAGCAGCTACTGGAGCCAGTGGTGGTGGTGGAAAGAAGAAGAACAAAAAGAAGAAGAAGGGCGGCAAGACTGAGGAACTGCCCAAGCCAGCCGAGGCAGTCCCTGCAGAGCAACCGGCCCAGGAGAAGGCTGCTCAAGAGACCGCTGCTCCAGCATCCGACGAACTCAACGAACTCAGGTCCAAGCTCGAGTCGTTGATGCAACAATTGTCGGAGAAGGAGGCGGCCATTGATCGCTTGAGTGCCAAGCTGAAGGGCGAAGACGATCTTAAGGAGGAGATTGAGTCTCTGCGCGATGACCTTGTCAACATAGGCCAGGAACATGTCGCAGCTAAGGACAAGATCAACGAGCTTTCCGCAGAGAAGACTGCCCTTGAAGAGACTATCACCAAGCTCGAGAAAGAACTGGTCGACCTTCGCACTAGCAACGCTTCGACCTCAGCTGACTCTGAGAAGATCCATACCTCTCTGAAGGAGGAGTTTGAGAGCCTCAAAGTTCGCTCGGCAACTCTGGAGACCGATCTTTCTGCCGCCCAGCAGCTGGCTGCCACTCGGTTCAAGGACCTCACAGACCTACGCGAGACTCTTCAGAAGGTTCAGCCCGAGCTGCGAAACCTGCGTGTTGAGTCTTCGGAGCTGAAGACCTTGAAGGAAACTCTTACCAGCAAGAACTCCGAGTTGAAGGCCCTCGAGGGCAAGCACGAGGATTTGCGTGCCGAGCTGAAGACCGCCAAGTCGAAGATCTCAGAGCGGGACACAGAGGTGGGCACCCTGAACAAGAAGATCCGACAAGAGACCGACAGCCGTTTGAAGGCTGAGGAGAAATTCAGCGTTGCTCAGTCCGAACTGCGCGCCTCCGAAAGCAAAAAGCAAGATGCTATCAATGCCAGGGATAAGACTAGTGCTGATCTCTCCAAGGCCCAAGATGGATTGAAGAGTACTCGTGCCAAGATGCGCGAGATGGATGATCAGATCTCCCAGTTGAACAAGGAGCTTGCTGGTCTCCGGGAAGAGATCCAGCTGAAGACGGCGCAGCACAGCAGCGCCCAGAGTCTGATGAACAGTATGCGTGATCAAACCTCAGAGGTGGCAATGCAGATGAAGGAGGCTCGTGAACGATGCGAGAGCCTGGAGGAAGAACTGGCTGACGCTCATCGTCTGCTGAGCGAACGGACCCGCGAAGGCGAGACTATGCGCCGACTGCTCAATGACATTGAGGGTCGTTCAGAGTCCAAGGTGCGTGACTTTAAGGAACGCATGGAGGCCGCTATCGAGGAGCGGGACCGCGCCGAAGACGAAGCTAGTAGCCAAGGCCGACGCCGTGCCCGGGAAATGGAAGAGCTGAAGGCCAAGGTCCGCGAGGCTGAGCGAGCACTTCGCACAGCCGAAGAGGACAAAGAGGAGCTGGAGCAATCCCAAAAGGATTGGCGTCGCCGCCGTGACGAGCTGGAGTCTATCTCCGAACAGTCATCACAAGAAGTGATCGAGATTCGCCAGGCCATGGCTGGTCTGCGCGATGCACTCGACGAAAGTGAGAAGCAGGTTCGTGACCTTGAAAAGGACAAGGCAGAGCTGCGCCGCTCCGTCGAAGAGACCAACGCCCGGCTGGAGAAGCTACGGAAATCCCACAAGACCCTTGGAGAGGATGTTCGTCTACGTGGGTCCCCGTCAGGTCGACAGTCTTCACGATCGTCGATCGATTCTGGATCTCGCCGGGGAATTGCGTCCCCTTCCGCTAGAAGCGAGACACCCGTTGGTCCACCCAGCAATGCATCCATTGACTACATGTACTTGAAGAATGTCCTCCTCCAATTCCTGGAGCAAAAGGACAAGAACTATCAGAAACAGCTCATTCCTGTCCTGGGAATGTTGCTGCATTTCGACCGGTAGGCTTTACCTTATACCCCCCTGATGTAACAATCACTAACTGCAGTATAGAACGGACGAACAAAAGTGGATGTCGGCGATCATGTCCAAATAATATACCCATAGGTGTATGCCCATCTGTACCATAACATCTGTAGAGAATCATAACGTTCCTATTCCTATATTCTTATATTCCTTGGTAGCGGAGTTCCATTGGATCCAGCTCCCCAGTGGGTCAAATCCCTCCCCAGACGTAGCTGTCAAAATTCCCTCTACAAAATGGACTTCATAACTGCATTCTCCAACACCATGGCCGACCAACCCACCATCCGCCTGGCAACTCCAGAGGGCAAGTCAACCTCCATCACCTCACCCTCACCAACTCCGACCCATTCCCAACCCAATCACCCCAACCCCAAACTAACACCCCACCAGACGTCCCCCTAATCCTCCAATTCATCTGCGAACTAGCCGACTACGAAAAAGCCCTCCACGAAGTCGAAGCAACTGAAGAGTCCCTCCTATCAACCCTCTCCTTCCCAGACACACCCCCCAAACGCGGCGCCGTCTACACAGCCCTGATAACCCCCCTCCAACCCCGACAAACGCCTCCCCAGTCCCCGTCGGCATGGCCCTCTACTTCTACAACTACTCGACGTGGCGCTCCGCACCGGGAATCTACCTGGAGGATCTATATGTGCAGCCGAGCGCGCGCGGCCACGGGTATGGGTTTAAGTTGCTGAAGTATTTGGCGAAGCAGGTGCTCGAGGTGTCAGGGCGCAGGCTCGAGTGGAGTGTGCTTACTTGGAATGAGCCTAGTATTCGCTTTTATGAACAGGTTGGGGCTAAAGGGATGGATGAATGGATGAAGATGATGGTTGAGGGGGATGCTTTGACCAAGTTGGCGGAGGGGGCGTAGGGAGCGTAGGGGGAGGGGTTGGGGGTGATATTGAGGGCGAGGTTGAGGGTGTATGAAAGTACCTGTGCATGTACAAAATGTGTGGTCTTTTTTCCTGGGATCGCTCGATCGAGGGGTCTGTAGAGCTCAGTGGAGCTATGCGATCATGAAAATAAATGTTACGGAACAGCCAAAGCCTGAAATCCACGTCATTCCACATAAATCTCGTATAAGAAACTCGGTGTACAAGTATATTAATGTGTGAACTGCAGACCTGACGCACCTGGTCAGGCTTCGCCCCAGCTAAGCCTTTCGTGACGTCGTCCGTCGACCCGCTGAACACCTCGATTTTTCGACTTTCGACTTTCGACTTTCTACCTCATCCACCACCATAGGATGACCGCAAACACAGAGAATCCCCAGGAGGTGAACCTCCATGTGGACTATGTAATCCACTACAGCTTCGGGGACACAGGTAAGCTGGAGCAAGCTCCGATATGCAGTGGGGGTCACATTCCATCCTAACATACCCTTCCCCGAATACCAGATAAACCACAAGCCATTGAACAGCTCGAGAAGCTACTCCAGTCACTCGCCAAGGTTGGTCTTCAGGCAGAGGTCCGTCAAGGCGATGAAGTGTCCTTACTGGTCTTTGTGAAAGCTTCTGAGAAGCACTTGAAGCGGGCGGTTTATCGGTCACGGTGAGTGACGTCGCTTTATTGTGAGATCGTGTGTATTCGCGCCCAGTGCTAATATTGTTTGTCAGTGTACGCGACTGGCTTTATGGTATTCGCAATGCTGAGCCTACACGGTCCAATTCGACGGAGCCTCAAACTGAGGCCGAGCGTCTGCGGGTTATTTATCAAATGATGACACTTCCTAAGGAAGAGGGCGGTGCGCATATTACGCCTGGTCATGGCCAATGGAAGAATGTCTCTGCTATATTCCCGCTTCATGATGTTGAGACGAATAATAAGTGGATGAGGGAGTGGAGTAAAAAGACTTTCCTTTCTGAAGATGACTTGGACCAGATCAGGAATAAGTTTGGTGAAAGTGTATGTGCAGAGTTGGAGTTGGGGTTGAGGATGCTAGGCTAACATTGATTGCAGGTTGGATTCTACTTCTCTTTCCTGCAGTCTTACTTCCGGTTCTTGATCTTCCCCGCTGTTTTTGGATTCTCGTGCTGGTTCCTCCTTGGTGGTTTCTCCATAATCTATACTGTGGTGAACTGTCTTTGGTGTATTATTTTCGTGGAATATTGGAAGCGCCAGGAGGTGGATCTGAGCTGCAGATGGGAGACCAAGAATGTTTCCGCTGTCCGAACTAAGCGGCGAGAGTTCAAGCCCGAGAAGGAGGTCTGCGATCAGAGTACTGGGGAGGTGCGTGGTGTCTTCCCGGCAACCAAGCGTATGCAACGACAGCTGCTTCAGATCCCATTTGCCCTGCTTGCGGCAATTGCTCTGGGTGCTATCATTGCAACTTGCTTTGCTATTGAAATCTTCATCTCGGAGCTTTATAATGGGCCTTTGAAGACATACTTGGTTAGTTGATCCTACTAGTTGCTGAACCCAAGCTTACTTTTTAGATCTTCATTCCGACCATTCTTGTCTCGGCGCTCGTTCCAACTATGAGTGCTATCTTATCATCGATTGCAACCAAGCTAAATGATTACGAGAACCACGAGACGAGCGACGCATATGATGTGGCACTGACCCAGAAGGTCTTCGTGATCAACTTTATAACGTCCTATCTTCCAATCTTCCTGACTGCCTTCGTCTACGTGCCATTCGCCAGTCTAATTGTTCCTTACCTCGATGTCTTCCACTTGACAGTCCGTCCTTTCGTGTCCAAGGAACATGCCATATTAAAGGAATCGCATTTCCAGATCGACCCTGCTCGGCTCCGCAACCAGGTCATCTATTTTACCGTCACGGCCCAGATTGTCGGCTTTGCTATGGAGACCATTGTTCCATATATCAAGCAACACGCACTTCGCAAATATAAGAAGTATAACAAGGAGCGCAATGGCAAGGCAGAGTGCAGCGGTGACAAAGAATCCCCCGAGAGATCTGTTGTGTCTTATGACGACCCCGCCGAGGAAGTGAAATTCCTCACGCGCGTGCGCAACGAGGTTGAGCTTTCCGAGTACGATGTAACGGACGATCTGCGCGAAATGTGTATTCAGTTCGGATACCTAGCACTGTTCTCACCCATATGGCCACTCGTCCCGCTCTCCTTCTTCGTGAACAATTGGGTTGAGCTACGGTCCGACTTCTTCAAGATTTGCATGGAATTCCGCCGCCCAGTCCCACTACGAACCGACACAATCGGACCGTGGCTAGATAGCCTCGGATTCCTCTCGTGGGTAGGAAGCATCACCAGCGCAGCACTAGTCTACATGTTCAGCGGCAATGCCCAGCACGGACCAAACGGCGAGCCCACAGATATTAAGGGCTGGGCCTTACTCTTAACGATCTTCTTCTCGGAACACCTCTACCTAATCGTGCGGTATGCCGTCCGGGCTGCCATGGCCCGCCTGGAACCACCAAACTCCCGCAAAGAACGCGGCGAGCGATACCTCATGCGCAAGCGGTATCTGGAATCCACACTGCACGCCGAGACAGATGATGACAAGGATGACGGCGAAGAGATCTCCATCCCTGAGTCATCTGAGATCTCACGCGCTTCTCTCGAGGATGATGCCCGGCACGCGTCCTTGCATAGTGTCGACCCGGCAGATCGGTTCTGGATGCACCAGCAGGGCTGGGCGGAGTCAGCCAAGATTGGTGCTGGGATTATCCAGGCCCAGCCTGTCAAGGGTACCGTTAAAAAGCAGCAGTAGAGGTGACAGCGTGTTATGCAGCCTGACTATGTACGGCACAAGCGGCTGACTGTTGGTGCCAGGTACGAGATCACGCTTGATTTGTAGCCTTTCGGTTTTCAGCTTCACGTACAGAGTATAGTATTTGATAGTTTAAGTCTGTGGCAAGTGGGTTTTTTACGTTATATCTGCTCCAGTACAGACTGTGTGTAGCTATTAGGAACCACTCTCCAAGTATATTGGTATATACCTAGAAAAGCTCGATAAAAAGCGATTGGAATAGGCCTTCAGGGCTGTACATGGCGATCTGTGTACATGTCCGAGGAAAGATTTTGAGGCCTCAGGCTGCAGTGCCGAGATAATCATGACGTAGTGCTGACTCGGGATTAAGTAATCCCACCCTCGGATTCCGGATGCAGGCGGAATGTGCAGTCAGCGAGTGGAAGGCGACGATGAGCTGAATGGCTGATTGGAAGACAATGTTCACAGTTGCAACCAGTTGTAATCAAGCCCAATCACGACATTCAGCCTATCAATGCGTACTACTCTGTAGAAAAAGAGGGAAAACACAACCTCACCGCCTTCCCAGTCCGAGGTTCGCTTACCAACCCCTTACATAAAGCCCTGGATCGCCCTCTGACTCAGATTCCTTAAGTAATCCCTCTCCTCCCTCCAACCTGCTTACAGCATCGGATCTGTAACTGCTTACCTCATTGCCCTGCATCTCGATATCATTAGCAAAGAAGCCCTTTTTCGCTCGCAATTCGTGTTGGATTGGATCGTGCCGTGCAGAGTCACTGTCCAATTCCTTCTCCCACAGCTCACCTCGATCCATGCAGCCTGCACTTGCACCAGCGCCGCATCCAAGCATGCAGACCTCTGCTCAGGTAAGCAGCCTATCTTGAACGCGTTTGTCATCAGATCTATATCCAGACCCCCCGCGTCACGGTTTACTGACTCGTGCACAACGGGCGGCTATGGGGTTGTGTTTCCTGTTGTTCCGACCGTTCGCGGTAAACCCCGCGACGCGTTGTGTTTCTCCAAGTCCTGCCGCGTCTCCCGGGTCATTGTGTCTGTTGTTGTCTACAATGCTAACTATGTACTATAGGACCATGCGGACCAGGGTACGTTTAAGTTCCCATTTCTATCTTTGTTATGACGTGGTTTCGTGGTTTCGTGGTTTCAGGGCAAGCATTTTTAAGCACGCCACGCCGACCTGATACAAGTTTCGCCTCCCATATATTGCTTTCCTACAAGCTAACATGTACCTTTTTTAGTCCTGCATGATCAGCTTCTAGCTGCCCAGCACCACCTTCAGGGTGGCCGCCCTCAGGGCGCCCCTGGTCAGCAGCAGCAACTCCAGCCCAACACTGCTAGCCCTCGCGACCAGGCAAACATTGATCCCGCCATCTCGGGCTCCATGCTTGGTGCTCCCCAAACCCCTACCCAGCCACAGGGATCTCCTCCCTCAGATGGTGGCTCCAAGAGCTACGGCAAGCGTGAACTGTCTACCTCCAAGCGCGCTGCCCAGAACCGTGCCGCCCAGGTATGTCTCGCTTGATATCCTGCCCGAACTGTCATACTAACCATTCAACAGCGTGCATTCCGTCAGCGCAAGGAAACTTACATCCGCAAGCTCGAGGAAGAAGTCAAGAACATTGAAACCTTCAAAGACACAGTGAAGCAACTGGCCGGCGAGAACTATCAGCTCCGCGAGTACATCATCAACTTGCAATCCCGTCTCCTGGAATCTCAAGGCGAAGTCCCCGAGCTGCCAGCAAACATCGACCTGACGCAGTCTCGCACCGCCGAGATAGCCCTCGCCGCAGCTGGAGTCCAAAGCACCGGTTCCTCCTCTGTACCACCCTCCGGCCCGCAGCAGGGCCAGCAACAGACCAGCGTGACAGACGACATGAACTCGCTGAACCGCATTGCCGTCGCCGGCCTGGGCATGCGCAAGCACCCAGACGAGAGCAACTTCCTCGGCAACAACTTCCAGCAGAACAAGCGCGTGCGCGCCGACGACAGCCAAGGCGATGGCTCGGACCCTGTAGGCAAGCCGGAGACCCACGGTCTTCCAATGGTGAACTAAAGTATCTATCTTCATCTTCACCACTTGCCTGCCAAGTTCACGCGTTTGATTGCCAACTTTCTTGCGATCGCTTTTCGATACCCGCGTCCTATTTGTCTTTACTGCCTGTTATCTAGCCCCGGTGGTACATTTTCTATTTTCCTTATAAGGGCCCACCCTCTCTCATGTGCCTAGCTGGATCTCTCGGCTTTTTCATTTTTCCTGCTATCGTTCTCTTTGTTCTTTGCGTAATGGTGTGTGGCGCGAACTTTGGTTTCATCGTCTCAATTTGAACCCATTCGGTGGGTCGGTGGTGTTCTGAGATTTTTCGACCTTTTCTTTTGATGGTGTTGTGTTCGTGAGTGGAGTATTTTTAAGCATATGTTTCATACCTTCAATGCAATTATCTTTTATTTAATTTGAATTAGTGCAATGGCATTCTTCTTTCGTATGTTCTTTGCAAAGATAGCTATAGAGACAGGTGGGTTCTGGTGTTAGATAAGCATGGCTCTTGTAGACTCTGTTTACAAGAGCTGATGTTTAAATGAGAGAAGTAAAGAGCATTCACCATAAATGATCATGCCCTGGGCATAATTACACGGCAGTATATCCAAGCCGGTCCCTCCAAGACCCAAAACAGCAACGCTAACTTATAACTTCCCAATAACTTACTGATCAAGCCCATACTCCCTAGCCAAAACATCAGCAGCAGTAGCCCCAGTAACATAAGCCGTAGCCTGCGTATGATTATTAGTCAAAACAGGAACAACACTCATATCAGCAACGCGCAATCCCTGCACACCCATAACCTTAAAGCTGCGATCCACAACAGCCTCCTTATCACCAGTCCTACCCATCTTAGCAGTCCCAGTCATATGCCAACTTGACGACAAGAAATCCTTCCAGAATGTCAAAATATCCTCATCTGAGTCAGACGCCGGCCCAATAAGCGTCGACACCGTATCCTTTGCGAACGTCGGTGCCCGCGATACTTCCAGCAAGTGCCGATAAATCTCAATGCATGCGCGCCGGTCGAAGGGGTCTCCCAGGAAGCGGGGGTTGAATAGGAGGGGCGTATTAGGGTCGGAGGATTGGAGCGTTACCTCGCCGCGGGATTGTGCGTTCATCATGAATGCGGCTAGACCGACGTAGCTGTAATCATCCTTGAACATGTCCGGCGCGAAGAAGTGCATAGGGATGTGGGTGAGCATTTCGTAGTGGGGAATTGTGTCGCGATTCATGAAATCCTGTACGTCTTGCGGTAGGGCGGCGAATTCGGGGGAGCCGGTTATCCGGTCAGATTTGAACCAGCCTGTGCCTAGTTGGCAGCCGTAGCGGGTCCATTGACCTGTGTTTGTTTCTTCCCATTGTTTCATGGCGCTTTCCATTGCGGTGGGGTTTAGGAAGAAGGTGTTTCGGTCTGTTGTTTCTGGTTTGCGGGCTAGGATTAGGGGTACAAAGTAGTGGTCTCGTAGGCCTTTTCCTAGGGCTGGGAGGTCTTGGATTACTGGGATGTTGTATTTGTTGAGGTCGTTCGCTGGGCCGATTCCCGAGTGCATGAGGATTTTGGGTGTGTCTAGGGATCCGGCGGAGAGGATTACATCTCGGGATGCGAAGTCTGGGAGTTGTTAGATTTTTGGGATGGATGGATGTTGGGGTGGTGAGTTGGGGGACGTACACTTCTTGTTGCCGGTATCAACACCAACAGCCGTCTTTCCATCCAATATCACCCGCTGTACGGGGCTGTCCGTGACAATCGATAGATTACCAGGCGCATCAACAAGTAGATCAGCAGCAGTAGTACGCTTCCCCTGCCCAGCAGAGTTGATAGTAAGCGCCATACCAAGGGGGTTCCCAGAATTATGATCGAAATTGCGCTGATACCCAGCTTCCTCAAAAGCGTCGAGGACAGTCGACAGATCATCCTCCCAGTTCTCAGCATATCCAATGCGCAAACCACCAGTCTGACCATGGTCAGCTGCAACGGTGTTGGCATACTTCTGATGCTCAGGACGAACAATGGTACCATTGAAGGTTTCCAGGTTCTTGAACCGCGCCTGCATCTGCTTCCAGCCAAAAGTCTCATCGTCGATTTCCGCGGCCCATTCGTCATAGTCGTCCTTTGCGCCCACGGTGAACACTCCGAAATTAATCGCTGATCCGCCTCCTAGTCCCTTGCCACGGGAGTAGTCCAGTTCGCGGCCGTTGCAGTGTTCCTGGGGTGTGGTCTTGTAGCCCCAGTTTAGGCCCTGCTCCTCCTTGTAGGTTGTCCAGCGCTTTCCGTCGACGCGCAGGCGTCGATCGTCATTGCGTCCGCCGGCTTCGAGGAGGAGGACTTGGGGTCTTTGGACTGATTTCGCGAGACAGGCGGCTAGAGTGCAGCCGGCTGGTCCACCTACTCAAAAGTGTTGTGAGTTATGGGTTTGGGAGACCATATAGCAATCTTGGGTGGTATATGGGTACCTCCAACGACAATAAAGTCGTACTTCTTCTCTGCAGATCCCATGTTCAATGATATTTAGGTATATACTGTAGTCAAAGGAAAAATAATCGACAGTATAAGGGTCACTGGAGACAAGCTGATTATAACAATTTCACACACGAGACAGTTCTCGCACTAACACTGAAACCCCTCTTTGTCCAGCACATCGCTGCAAGCCACGAACCACCGCGGTGGAGAAACTCAGACGAGGCTTTCCTGAACTACTGAATCTGGTGAAATGGCTCAGAAATGCGTTTGCACCACTGGAGGTCGATCATCGGTGTGCAAGGATGAAATCACTCGTTGAATTGTCCGCTCCCTTTTTGAAGGTCTGCATGGTGTTCCATAGTAATGATTGCTCAAATAAGGCATTGGACCCGACTGATTTGCCAATTGGGTTGGAGGTGCAGGGGTTATGCATGATGCTTATGGTGTAAGGTGTAAGATATGCGAGATTGGTAACGGACACGTACCGCCGATCGCAGTAGTTCACTTCCGGGGTTCCTATGGATTTGGGGTGGATAATGGAGGAGCTCGGGTTGGGACCGAGATTATTGAGATTCGAGGAGGCCTGGAGATTCTGGTACGATCCGTTGTGGTCAGTAGAGTTGAGGCTCTGGTGGTGGGTACCACAGGTCAATTTGTCAGGGTAGAAAGCCATTCGGTCAGGTCTAATTTGGTAAGAGGTATGTACATGTATACTTTATGACACAATCTCAATTGAGGCTAAGACTCAACAATGCGTATGTCTAACGTCCTGTCTTGGCTGAAGTGGCTGGACTGGAAGCGGTGTACGAGAGATACTGCCGGACCAAGATCTAAACTTAATCGGCTCCGAATAGTCGGGATTTGGCTCGTTCGTATTTGAACCTGTCCGAATTCATCTTCCATGCGAAACTCCGAGGTTGGATGGATTGGACTCAGTTAAAAATGAAACTGGCATTGTAGAAATGCGGGGAGGTGGGTTAGCAGACTAGGGTTGTAAAACCGCAAGCTAGTTGAGCCCCATGCATTAACGTTAGTGGCCCACCAGGACAAGACTGCGCAATGCGTCAACAAGTGTCATCTGATTCCGAAACTCGGTAGTAGATCATGGCCTGGATGTGTAAATCAGGATCCGAGTATTGACCTTGCAGAACGCCAGCTTCTCATACAGCTCAGCGACTTGAGGAGTCTATTCAAACCCCACGGGTGCGCGTTCACGCTGTGCTTGCTGCAAGCCCCATTCCACTAATTGCTTATTGATGCCACATTGCTGATAAGCAGGGTCGACAGCATGGCCGTCCAGATACCAAATATCCGGATAGGGCAGATAGCAGAAACAGCTTGGTGTCGAGGAGTCGTAAAGTTCAAGTCGACGAGGATCGATACTGCGGTCGGGGCAGGTAAATTCCGGGTACAACTCTTGCAGACCAGGGAGTGTTCGCTCCAGAATTGCATATATCGATGTTAGCCGAAAATGGTGAAAGACGGGTCCCAAAAAGAAAACATGTATTGTCAGACGGGATGTGGTCAATATGCGACCATGAGTCCTTTTGTCAGACTACTGCGTCGTCTCCGCTCTTCCATCTGATTCAAGCAGGGTATCCAGTGTATCCACAGATCAGCATCAGCTTCAGTGTGTTCCCCATACTCATTCTCCACTGTGACGAGAATCATCGACCCCGGAGTCACGGATCGCCGTTTGAGAACCAGTAGCGGAGGAAGGAATAGCGAAAGTCCTGGGTGATGCTCGTGTCGCCGTGGACATATTCAGGCAACGAGTTTCTCCAGCATGGCCTGCACCAGATCTGCAATGTCGGGGAGATCCTGAGCACATGCGGACTAAAGACGTACAGGAGACATGCTGTTGGTGTTCCTGGATTCACCGGTGAGGCAGCGTGGTGTGGTCTGTGCCCATGAGGGGGAACCCTGTTGCCTCCACATCAGTGGGTTAGCGTACGAACCTCGGCAATTGATTTCTATTTTCGTAGCCACTTTGAAACCCTTGAAACAGTTGGCAATGGTTTCAAGGCAAGAGGCAAAGTGTGTGTAGAGAACACATTGTTTGACCAGTGACGGTTTCGTTAGTTCAAATCCCGAGACTTCGTTGTCGGTACCCTTGAAAGGCTCGAGAGCGGCAATTGAGTTGAGATATGCGGGCCCGTTAAGTTACCTCAAGAAATCAAAGTTCAACTAGAACAGGGAATGAGCCTCAGCGTTGACGACCAACTTTGCCAATACGGCTAAGACTGTTAAAAGGCGAAAAGAAAGGAAAGTTTAGCGGCACGTGCCCAGAGCGATTCCTTCCGGGGAAGCGGGAAAAGTCGTTCCCTTGCATCTTTCCCCAACCTCCATTTTCTGCAGGAATTTCTCCTTCTAAATATTGTTCTCTGTGAGGCCCATTGCCTGTCCAGGTCAATTGGTAATCTCGCTTTGCCCCAGGTGGCGACTGTGGCTGGTCTTGGCTCGGTCTTTCCTCATTTTATTTTTACACCTCATCCGTCTCCCATGCGACGTCCCGATTCCCTGTTCTCATAACCGCCCTCGGACACTTCCCACTCCACATAATTACATCCGCCGACATTCTTCGGAAACCGACAACTGCGCGACGATCCGATCCCACCGATCTCAACAACCCGCAAATTTCCTCTGGACCCTTCGAATTGGCGCTCGATTGCGATACACATTCTACAATATTTGCGCGCATAGCACTTTCGATTTAGAGTGACTATGATTCCCCTAGAGTCGGCCCGCTGCAACAAACTACGTGCATAGTCGAGGATCTCACAAAGTGGGGCGCGCAACATTCTCTGATCAGGATACTTTCTTGTATACCTAGCCAGGCTCAGTCGGGGCGCCGACAATGACCAACCTGTCCGAGCCTCCGGACGGGATCCATGGATATCATGGCAACAATTTAGCTGTGCGGACGTTGATGATTGTCTTCACGTCCATTGCATTATACAACGCCATCGAACTGTTCATATTGCTATTTTTGACCTTCCAAACCTACCGGGGCCTCTACTTTTGGACACTTTTGCTCTCTGTTGTGCTTGGTGTGATTCCCCACGCCATTGGCTACCTGCTGGAATTCTTCTCCTTGGCACCATTATGGTTTTCCTTGACTCTGTCCACCATTGGCTTTTACGTCATGGTACCAGGGCAATCGGTGGTCCTTTACTCACGCCTGCATTTGGTGGTCCACAGTTCCAAAGTTCTTCGTTTTGTGCTCTGGCTCATCATCATTGATGCGGTTATTCTTTTAATACCAACAACCGTTCTTACATTTTGTACCGCGTACATTGCGCAGCCGGCAATGGTTCGCGGATATAATGTCATGGAGCGGATGCAATTGGCCTGGTTCTGCGCGCAGGAAATGGTCATCTCAGGAATCTACATCATCGAAACCGTCAAACTCCTCAAGATGATGCCAGAAAAGGATCGACGACGAACTCGCATCATGTACGAGTTGCTGGCAATCAATTTGGTCATTATCTTGCTTGATATTTGTCTACTGGTCGTGGAATATATTGGCTTCTACTCGCTGCAGACTACTTTGAAACCTATGGTCTATAGCATCAAGCTGAAGCTTGAGTTTGGCGTGCTTGGAAAGCTCGTCTCGATCGTGCAAACCCAACAATCACAGCCCACCTCGTCCGAGCACGAGGAGTATCCCGGTTTCGTGGATCCCACTCAATTCACGACGGATGTTACCCACGCTGCTCCCCGGGAATCGCGATCACGAGGACGGAGGGGATGGAATTCGAATACGATTTCCATGGAGAGCTTGCCCATGTCCGAGCGTCGAATTCGTCCATCCACGCAATCGACCGATGGCAGTGCTCAGCCAACATGAGAGCTGACTCGAGAATATGCATTTCACATCTTTATTTTCGGCCTATAATCATCCACTGGGCGATAATAGCAAAGCCATTGGCTTTCATCTTCTTCGCCGCCCATCAAAACTTTGACTGCCAATCTCAAGTTTGAGTTGGTTTGGCCACCTAGCATTTGCTCTCATTGCACCTCTCATCTGAGTTGTGCCAACGCCACTCCCACCGGCCCAATTCCAAACCCGGAATACTCATCCTTTGGGCCATCTTGCCTTTTTTGCCTGCGCAATGTTAGCAACCCAAAAATGAGATGCTCTCATCTCTGCATTTCGGCTTATGATTCGAGCAACCTTGCCGTCTCTCTGCTAAGGGTCTCGAAGGTATAAGCATTAGCATTACCTCGAAAGGCTTGCGTAATATTCTGTACGAATGGTTCATATTCGGCATTGAGGAGCGAACTCGAGAATAACAATATCAGACTACCCGAACAGGTAGTGATATCATGGACCCTTTTCGGTCTCAATGCCGAGTATGAACCATTCGTGCAAAATGTTACGCAAGCCTTTTGGGGTAGTGCTATTGCCTATACCTTCGAGACCCTTACAGCAGAGAGACGGCAAGGGTTGCACATTATCTGTGGTTCAACCATACCACTGCAAAAGTCATTCTGCCCGATCCGGAAGGATCGTGGCCGTCATATACGCTAGATGTATATTGGCAACGACATAATATAATGCGGTCTATCGACACCCACGATTCTCACGATGTACAATACCTCAAACAATTACCACGTTACCATGATATATTATCACTTGAAATATTGGAGCCAACACAAGAATAGTAGAAGATAGAACTTGCTCGCATTGGTAGTCGACAGCCACGATATCGATGGAATCAGCAGTATGACTGGGCTCCAGTTTTATATGGCTCTGAAGGAGTACCTGGATGCTCCGACTCACCCGGAAAGTACAAGAAGAGCCTATCAGGTGGCGAGATGCATGATGCCATTGTGAGCCTCCAGAGTACCGAGTATCACGGGGAAGATGAATGGACTTTGCCGATTAAAATGCCGGTCTTGGATCAACGCCATATCTATATTTCATACACGTGTCACATACACCGTATCAGGTCGGCAATCTGCGGGGGTAGCCGAGATGCGAAACTATGCCGTTGTAACTCTGTTTTCTCCACTGCGGAGTGACATCTTATCTGCGGAGTTCGGAAGGAGATTCCTTTCTCAGCTAACTCTGGTTATATCTCTTCTATTATCGATTCTGTTGTCGAGCTTACTCCATTCAACCCAATTGACAATGTTGACAGTGCAAGAGCAAACGGAAATCATCCAGAAGGTGCGCGGGGCATTGAACCAGTATGAAGCCAAGCTCAGCGAGATCAACCAGAAGGCAAGTACTATACCATCCATAAGACAAATAGTCAATACTGACAAGCAACAGATCTGGTCAAACCCCGAACTAGCATTCAAAGAATATAACGCCCACAACAACATCTGCACCTTCTTCGAATCCCTCAACGATGACAATGGCTACAAAATCACCCGGAAAGCCTACGGCATCGAAACAGCCCTAGAAATAACCCACAAACAAGGCCACGGAGGCCGCATCGTAGCGTTCAACGCAGAATACGACGCCCTGCCCGGAATGGGCCACGCCTGCGGCCACAACCTAATAGCAACAAGCAGCATCGCCGCCTTCCTCGCAACAGTTGAAACAATGAAAGCGCTCTATAGCAACAACCGAACACCAAGCACAAGCTACGACGTCCGCCTATTCGGCACACCGGCCGAAGAAGGCGGCGGCGGAAAACTCCTCCTAATCAACGCCGGCGCCTACAAATCCGTCGACGCCTGTTTCATGGTCCATCCATTCCCAATCCTGTCCGGTGCGCCGGATCTGCTCAGTTCGAGCTCTTGTACCGGGCAATACCTCGCGAATGATAAGGTACAGGTGACGTACACAGGCAAGCCGGCTCACGCGTCTGCAGCGCCGTGGGAGGGGGTGAATGCGCTTGATGCGGTTGTTTCGGCTTATGTAGGGATTTCGATGTTGAGGCAGCAGATCAAGCCAACGGATAAGATTCATGGGGTTGTGCTGAGGGGGTGGGGAGAGGCCGAATGTTATTCCAGCTTCGACTACTGTGGAGTATTATATTCGGTCGGGGAGTGTGAAGGAGTTGAGGCCTTTGACGGAGAAGGTGGTGAAGTGTTTTGAGGCGGCTGCTACTGCTACGGGGTGTACGGTTGAATTTGAATGGTATGTATTATATTGGTGGTGGTGGTGGTGGTGGTGATGCTTGCTAACTGCTGCTGTAGGGAGGCTTCGTATAAGGATATGAAAATCAATAAGCCTATCTGTGATAGCTATGTCTCTGCTATGAATGCTATGGGGCATAGTACTATCTTTGATGCTGCGGGACAGGAGGGTGGGCTTAGTGGGGGATCCACTGATATGGGTGGGTGCAGAGTATCCCTGCAGGGCTTTGTTCTACTGTCTAGAATGTCCACATGCTAACAACAGCTTTTTTTTTTATCTAGGCAACGTCTCCTACGAAGTCCCGAGCTTCCATGGTGGCTTTTACATAGCCACCGACGGCGTCAATCATACGCCACAATTTACGGCAGGCGCGGGTTCAGAGGAGGGCTTTCAACGCAGCTTGCATTGTGCTGCGGGAATGGCGGTGGTGGCTTGCCGGAATCTAGTCGATGATAGCTTTGCGAAGGCTGTGGAGTCTGACTTTCGCAAAGATAATGCGCTGTAGATCCATCGAGATAAACTAGACTCCGTATTATGGGGCAATATGGATCGTGCTATAGATTGAATGGAGAATGTCGACTTCGGTTCTGGGCCAAAATGGTACTCCGTAGCTGAGTGGAAAAAAGTTACTTTTTTCTACATCTACGCCTCATGTGGAGCATATAAAAATCAGTCGCCACAGCTCCCATTTGTAATGCAATGGCGGAACACCGCAGTGCGGGCTTCACAAAAAGGGGCAAGATAACACTAAGATATCTGACATCTCCGCATAAAAAATTGCCGAGCTGAGTATCCGCTGAGTATCCGCTGAGAGGAGAAGTGGATGCACAGTGGGTGCATCTAAACCCTCTCGGACTCGGTTACAACCCGATAAAGAACTATGGGTTGCCGAGCAAGTGCAGCTGATTGGCACTCTCGCCAAGTCCCCATTCTACCTCCACGATTTCAATCGGGAAATACAGATCTGCACTCAAAACATAAGCAGAAAACTGAACTGGCCCGTTGGTAAAAGCTCCTTCTCCCCCCTGGGCCCACCGCGGAACGTAGCCCGAGGATCTGGACTGGTAGGTTTAAGCGAGTTCAAATCCATGGCTTTTTTCCTGTCATAAGTAAGACCCGTGGACTTGCGTGATCACCTTTTTTTGTATTAGTGCTCTTGTGTCATTTTTGCATTTGCTTGTACACGTACGTCGCAGGTGAACGATTCTAATATGGATGAGAAGGGCTTGAAGGGGGATGGGGAGTCTGTTGGCCGGGACTTTGACTTGGGTCAGGTTCTTGCTGTGCAGGCGACGCCTGAAGAGGAGAGGAAATTGTTGTGGAAACTTGATTTTTTGTGAGTATCTTGTTGGGTTTTGGGATGGCAGTTTCTAACTTGTTACAGTTTGATCCCATTGATGGGGATTGCATACTTCCTTCAATTCTTGGATAAACTTGCGCTCAGTCAAGCTACATTGTTCGGTTTACGACAAGACTTGGTATGCAGTCTTCTGCTCGCCCTTTCTCAATTGGGTGTTCACTAACCATCATAGAACATGCACGGCAATGAATACTCATGGGCCTCTGCAATCTTTTATTTCGGCTATTTCGCCTGGAGCTGGTAGGATTCGAAGTGTTCTGGGATCCAAAGGACGATCACTGACTCTAAACAGGCCAAGTTCTTATATTATCGTCCGTCTCCCTATCGGAAAATACCTCGCAGTTTCAGTGTATGTCCTTCCCCCACGATTAAGAATAAGCACTGACAATGTTAGATTTCTATGGGGTGGTGTTATGATGTGCCACGCAGCCTGCTCAAACTGGGCCGGGCTTATGACAGTCCGATTCTTCCTAGGTGTTGGAGAAGCCGCCATTGCACCAGGCTTTACATTGATCATAGGAATGTTCTACCGACGTGAAGAACAGCCCCTCCGGTAAGCCTATGCTCCTTGTCGCATGATTCAATTTCTAATAGCTCTTAGGCAATCTGCCTGGTTCTTCGGAAATTGTGTGGCACTTTTATTCGGTGCCTTGATCGCCTACGGCATCGGAAACATCAACACAAACGCCATCGAGCACTGGAAACTATTGTTCCTTATCTTCGGTGCCATCACCTCCGCCTACGGCGTTGTCCTTCTCTTCTTGCTCCCAGATTCCCCCGCTACAGCTATCTTCCTCAAACCACACGAGCGCGCCATTGCCGTAAAGCGAACATTGAAAAATAAGACTGGAGTCATGGATACTGGTGTGTTCAAGTGGTCACAGGCCGCTCAAGCCCTAACAGATCCCCAAACCTGGTTCCTGGTTCTGTGGTCATTCACTACCAACCTAGCGAACGGTGGTCTCACGAGTGTTCGTATCATTCTCTATATTACACTCATACCGTATACTTATTTTCACAGTTTACATCGATTATCATTGCCGGTTTCGGATTCTCCGACCTCAAGGCACTGGTTATGCAAATGCCCCAAGGTGGTGCCCAGATCGTTTTTCTGATTCTTACTTCGACTGTCGCGACTTTTGTGCCATCCTCCCGTATTTTGGGAATGGTTCTTAACATCATTGTTGCTGTTATTGGAACTATTCTCATTTGGAAGCTCAATGATGACAATCTAGCCGGACGAATGGTTGGCTTGACGTTATCTTGTGTTTTCGCTATTAATTTGCCTATCTCGTTGAGTATTGTTACCTCGAATGTGGCTGGTTTCTCCAAGAAGAGTGTCACGGGTTCGTTGATTTTCATCGCGTACTGTGTTGGGAATATTGTTGGTCCTCAGTTTTTCCTGTCTTCGGAGGAGCCCGCATACCCGGTAAGTGGATATATCTCTTGATCTGACAGACGCCGAGGAATTAACTGACATCTTATTTTCTAGACTGGAATCAAAGCTTCTATGTCAGGATTGGTACTAAGCATCTTCTTCCTCCTGTGCTTGTATTTCTACTATACGTACGAGAATCGTCGGCGGGACAAGCTCTATGGACCTCCTGAGGAGATTACCGTGGATGCTGAGTTGCAGGATGAACTTTCTAACAAGACGGATCGCGAGATTGAGAGTTTCAGATATCTTCTATGAGAAACTCATGAGAAACCTATATTAAATCAACGAACTTGACTCATCAGGAAGAAATATCCATTAAGTCTACCAATCGTCAAGATAGAATGTGCAGAATAGAGTAACCATGCTGTCGTAGCCCCAGAACAGGAAAAGGAGCTAGACTGTCTCAGGATCAAACAATATTTGAGGAGATTATTCCAACCAAGTATCAATCGCAACCCGTAAAGAATCACCTAGCCACTTCTCCTTAAACGAAGTATCAACATCAAACCCATGCCCACCAGGCCGAAGGCAAAGAACCAAGTTCTCAGCACCCTGTTTCCCTCTCAAAATGGCCTTCGCCTTGTTTATAAACCTCTCACTAACCTCCGCTAGAACATCATCATCATCAGTCCCATGAATGATAACCAATCCACCACGCGGCAATTTTGTCTCGGGATACTCCAACCGTTGCAATTGGAACAATTTCTCCCGATAAGGCGAGCCTTCAGAGCCCCGAGTATAAAACTCCGGACCTCTCCGGTGACAAGAAATTGCAAATTGCAAACGTGCGCGCCGTACCTCCAAATCAGACGATTCTACATATCCAGGACTGAGGCCCGCGAGATACTCATCAATATACGAAGACGGCACCTCGGCATTCATGGCATTCACCGAAGGGGGAAAAATAGCCGGCGGATCCCAGCTGAGTTGCGGATAAGTGGCCGTCCCAGCGCGAAGCTGGTCCGGGTAGGAAAGTGTGAGGTAGATGCTCAGAATTCCACCTGCGGAGTCTCCTGCGGCAAGGACACGATCAAGATCAAGATCGATTTGGCGTGGAGAAAGGATCTTCGTTAGGGCCTCGGAATGGAGCCATGTCCAGAAGTCGTCGACGTCTTCTAGGATTTGGACTCCTGTTGCTTCGGGGAGGAGGCGGTAGTTTGGTGAGATTATTACTGCGCTGTGGGTTTCCGCTAGTTCTAGGAGCCATTTTGGAAACCAGTCTGCGTAGATTGAGTCTCCTCTTGACTGTATCTTTGTTAAGGTGTTGTGTATTTGGTGGGATGGAGCCACATACCAAGCCTCCACCGTGGAATCGAGCAATGACGGGATTCTTTCTGGTTGTATCCAGAGACTTGGGGGTCAGAATATCTGCCCGTATATCATGGCTATCGACTGTTTTGTAGATAGTCTGGATGATGTTGAAGTTGTTGAACTTCTGACCGAATCTGGCAGCAGTCATCTTTGCGGGGTAAAAGTGGTGTTGATAAGCTGGGATTCTGATGGCCACAATAGATGCGGAGAGTGGTTTGAGTGATACTTCTCTCAAAGTCTTGATGACCATAAGCCTACTTATAGATGCTCGTATCCAATGTTTGCATATATGTGAGGCGGACCAAGTGGATCCAATGGGCAATGCAAACAGGACATGCGGGAAGGACATTGGCCAAGAATGTGTTTGCAGCAAGACCAAACTCTAGTTTGTGCTGTTTGACTTGGTTTCCATCTCGAAGTTTATTGAGCAGTCTATTATCAATGCTGCTATTTTTGAGTCGAGTTTTACGGTACACATGTAGGTTAAATATCGAAGGGAATTGAGTGCACATTGAAGCAATATAGACCATGGCAGTATTGGAGCTGGTCACTACATACCTCCTTTGTCTTACTATATGCAAAACCTGCCTCATAACGATTGTATATAGTACCCCGACTTGCTTATAAATTACGAATTGACTGTGTTTACGGTCGGTACGGTGTATTGTCTGCCGATTTACCAGAAACTGTTTACAGTTAACTACATGTATATCACCTTACTTTCAACCATCTCATAGGGGCAATATGACGTTAGAATGTTCATGACAATGTGGCACTAGAGATAGTCAATAAAGACATATAGCTATGTCATTTCGCCTGTAAACATGCATCTTTCTCGATGGCTCTCCCAGGTACTATAACATTTACAAGCAAGGATGCCTCTATGACATCATACAGTACTTGGTCATGTCATTGGTACCCGTAATGAGGTACCAGTACTTCCCCTAATATGGGAGTCTTCGGCTAAAGGCCTGTATCAGTACATGGTCTCAGCCACTCATATCCCCAAGTCCGCGTCTCATCGGTTTCCGCCTTTTTCCCTTTCAAGCTCTTGGTTGAAATTTGTTCCCCACGGCTTTTCCACCAGTCAATGCCGAGGATATTCTTTCTCCGGTTCGCTTGGAGCGCCTCAACCATGCTCAGCATGGAAGCTCGCGCCTAGGGGCTACCCGCTGTGGAGGCCCTTTTGACAGGCGCCTATCATTACTTCATACACATTAATTTACTGGACCTATTTTTGCGTTTCACCGCATTTGCTGCCCCTCCATGGGCTTGTGGTTATCTCTTCTTCTCTCCGGATCGTCGTACACCCAACCTGTCGGGTTCGATCTCTGATTTCGGGACTTGTCCACTTAGGCGGCTTCTATACCTCGCCTTATGAACACGGGGTACACTCTCCTTTCTCGGCTCCGAGAGTCCGTTCCCTTTGGCATCTTGTCTCTCTCGCCATAAAAGACGGAACCCTCCGCTTCGCTCCCCCGGAATTGAGTTTGTACTTCACACAACCCTCAAATCTCACTGAGACACCCGATCGGAACAAGCTATCGGACTGCACGGCCCCGATGGCATCACCAGCACCCGATAAGATCGGGCCGGTATCCCCGCGAAAAAGATCTGAAAGTATTGCAACAGGGTCATTGAGGTCGGAGGACATGCGCCCAGAGATCAGGGACCGAGCACAATCCGTTACCCAAAATGAAAGCCAACCACCGAGCACCGGCTTCGACGCTGCCGACCGTGTCTTCCCCATTCGGTCATTCGTTTCGGTCGACCCTAAGCCCGTAAAACACCATGCGGCTACCGCGCAGGCGCGGGCGGCACGTTCGCCAACGCGAGAAGGGGCCCGACAATACTCGTTCATCGACGAACATACGTGGAATCAACTACAGTCACAACCTCCCTCCAATGCGGAAGCGAGTGGACCGACCATACCCACCGATATTGAACGCCATGAGACACACGAGGTAGACGACCGCACCGAGCTTGCAGCACATTCGATGGCATCCGAGGTTATTCAGCACCCCGAAATCTATGCCAAACCCACAAGCGATAGCAACTCCGGCACCGGTTCTACCGCCTACCCAGGCGCGCACACCCCGCCCAGTGACGAACAGGGCCATTACACTGCTCGCTTCAAACATGTCATGACAGAGAATGGCCATGCTGTGATAACAGGACGGGATGGGAAGGCATTCCAATATTGTGAAGATGAACCAATTCGCATCCCAGGTGCGATTCAAAGTTTTGGGGTTATGCTTGCTTTGCGAGAGGAATCGCCCAATCAGCTTGTGGTGCGTGTGGTGAGCGAAAACTCGGCTGATTTCTTCGGTCATTCGCCCAAGGAACTATTCGAGTTGGAGAATTTCTGCGAGATCATGCCCGAAGACCAGGCAGATAACCTACTGGATCATATCGACTTCGTTCGTGATGATGCTTATGATCCCACCATTGATGGACCGGAGGTGTTTTCCTTGGACACTCGTATGCCATCGGGGGAGACCCGTCGATTCTGGTGCGCTGTTCATGTTTGTCAAACGCAAAAGGATCTGATCATTTGCGAGTTTGAGCTGGAAGACGACGAGATCAACCCATTAAATGTCGCGGGCACTACTACCCCGGCTTCTCCAACAGATACTTTGGGCGTCAACCCAACCCCAGAGCAACTGGCTGAGAGCACAATCAACATCAGCCAACCTCTGCGCGTTCTTCGCAAGGCCCGTCGGAGGAGGGGTGAAGCAGCCTCGATGGAAGTTTTTAGCATCTTAACACAAATCCAGGAGCAGCTGGGTCGGGCAAATCATTTAGATCAACTGTTGAATACCACTGCCGGATTGGTAAAGGAGCTGACCGGCTTTCACCGAGTCTTGATCTATCAGTTCGACAGCAGTTGGAATGGCATGGTAGTTGCGGAATTGGTTGATCCTAACGTCACAATCGATCTCTATAAGGGCCTTCATTTCCCTGCATCTGACATTCCCGCGCAGGCGAGAGAACTATACAAGATCAACAAAGTGAGGTTATTGTATGATCGTGACCAAGTCACGTCTCGCCTCGTTTGTCGCACTTTGGAAGACCTCGAAACCCCTCTTGACATGACACATGCTTTTTTGAGAGCAATGTCGCCCATACACGTGAAGTATCTGGCTCACATGAAGGTCCGGTCTTCAATGTCTATCAGCGTCAATGCTTTCAACGATCTATGGGGCTTAATCTCCTGCCATAGCTACGGTACCGCGGGAATGCGTGTTTCGTTTCCAATTCGCAAAATGTGCCGGCTTCTTGGTGATTGCGTATCACGGAACATCGAGAGGCTTTCTTATGCCTCTCGCCTGCAGGCACGGAAGCTGATTAACACTGTTCCAACTGAGGCCAATCCGTCCGGTTACATCATTGCGTCCTCGGATGACCTGCTTCAACTTTTCGATGCAGATTATGGTGTTTTGTCAATCCGAGACGAGACCAAGATTCTCGGCGATAACAACCACTCCCAGGAACTGCTTGCACTGCTAGAGTATCTCCGCCTACGTCAGATGAACTCGGTGCTTGCATCGCATGATATCACCAAGGACTTCCCTGACCTGCATTACGCCCCGGGGTTGAAGGCCGTATCGGGACTATTATATGTTCCACTCTCCGCCGCTGGCAGTGACTTCATCGTTTTCTTCCGTCGCGGACAACTCACGGAGATTAAATGGGCCGGTAACCCATATGAAATTGCCAAGCGAAAAAAGACCGCAGGGTATTTGGAACCGCGTGAAAGTTTCAAGGCATGGCAGGAGACAGTCCTGTCCCAGAGTCGCGAGTGGACGGAGACGGACGTTGAGACAGCTGCAGTTCTATGCCTTGTGTATGGTAAATTCATCAAAGTCTGGCGCCAGAAGGAGGCTGCTATGCAAAATTCACAACTCACTCGACTGCTACTGGCCAACTCCGCGCATGAGGTTCGCACACCTTTGAATGCTATCATCAACTATCTTGAGATTGCCCTCGAGGGTGCGCTCGATGCAGACACCCGCGAGAGTCTCACCAAATCTCATTCGGCTTCCAAATCCCTTATCTATGTTATCAACGATCTACTGGATTTGACAAACACTGAGAAAGGACAGGCGTTGATCAAAGATGAAAGCTTTGACCTTGAAGCCACTTTCAAGGAGGCCTCCGACATGCTTTCCGGTGAGGCCAAGCGGAAGAACATCTCCTACACCGTGTCAGTCCACCCGGGTATACCTCACTCTGTACTCGGAGATCAACGGCGTGTCCGCCAAGTCTTGTCAAACGTGATTTCGAATGCAATTCAAAATACCGCTTCGGGTGCTGTTACTACCGAGATGTGGCGGTCGGCGAACCAGAGCCTCCCAGGTTATGTGGCAGTTGAGGTTATAGTTGTCGACACAGGGTGCGGAATGTCGGAGAAGAAGCTGGAGTCTCTGTTCCACGAGCTTGAACAAGTTTCCACCGATGAAACTTACTATCCCGAGGACGAGCCAGAACCAGAGCAGTCAGACTCGCCCAAACAACCAAAGAAACGTGTCTTGGGTCTTGGCCTTGCCCTGGTGGCCAGGATTGTTCACAACATGCAAGGACAGCTTGGTGTCAGATCAGAAGAAGGAAAGGGTAGCCGATTCAAGATTTTGTTGCAATTCAAGTTACCAGAAGGGGCCTCCCCGGACAGCATCCCTTCTGCGGGCCCTGTTGCTCCCCCGACTTCTGTGCTCCCTGAAAAGGAGTACACGCTAATTGGTGGGGCGTACGAGGCTCGGGAGAGTGACCGTGATCCAAGAAGAAGAAGCACGGAAAGTCTGAATAGTGGCGGCAGCTCTCGCAGTGGGAAGAGCCAGGCCGACCGTCTCATTAGCGCCATGCAAGAACCAGCTTTAACCACGAGAAGTACGAGTCATGGGTCAGACGTCAAACCGCCTGATCTTCGACAGCTCAAAATGGGCAGTCCCGTTAGTGCGAGCAGCCATGTTCAGTCTTTAACGTCGCCGGGAGCGACACAAGCCTCGAAGCGATCAAGTTTGACAGAGCACCGAGCCAATATCTCTTCCGCCTCATATAATACGCCGAGTATGTTGCAACCGCTGGTAACACCACCTCCGCCGGGCCTGGAGAACATCACGGACTCAGGAGTACCGATGAGTGCTTTGCGAATATCCCAGCGATCTGCAAACACGATACCGCCCCATCTGCAGCGTGTTGAAGATCATTCCTATTTTCCCCGCGTCAAAACTATCACAGAAACGTCACAGCGTTCAACGGACGCTGCTGCATCTAAATCAACAAATGTCTCACCAGATTATGAGCTGCTTCACGTAC